AAAGATTCCCCCAGGGGTAGGCCTTAGTCCTGTTAAAGGCAATACCGAGTAACCTTTGATACTGATATTTAGTCACGTCCTAAGGGCGCGATCATTCTTCTTTAATGATGTCCATAAATATTATATAAAAAATTGCCGATTGAATTCAAATCCTGAATCAGGTTGATTCTGATTAATATTACTGTAAAATTTCAAAGGACTAAGTCATCGTCTTTGACAGTCTTAATGACTTAATTTTAAAATGACACAATACAGAGGGACAGGACACGCGATTACAAGGGATGACTCTCTTCTCAAGACTCATCTCGTGACTTAGAGAAATTAAACCAGTCGTCCCTTTTACTTTGCTTATAGCACTCAATCCGTCTTAAGGCGCCATTTTCACGATGTTTAATTCACAAAGGCCTGGAAGATAGAATATCCCCCGCACGTCACGTCGAGGACGTTTTAAGAACAATAAGCGGAAATTAACATAGGATTCGTCAATCTGAAAAATCCAATGAAAACCCGGAAGTCTTAACTCCTACGTATATTGGACGTAAGATAAAAAGATGAAGGCCCTGGAAGGGACCCGTCTAATCAATCGTGTGTTTTCCTTTTGAGTCTCTCCCTGAAAATCGAAGTGGTATAAAGGCGCGAGGAAACTAAATTGGAATTCCCGAAGGCGACGCTGCTATCCAGAAGGGCGTAGAGGATGGCCGTTGAGAGTTTTGTACAGGGAGTGGTGGGGCTGAGTCAGGCTGAAGATACTGAGGCTGGTGGTGCGAGAGAGCAGTGGGATGCTGTAGGACCAAGGAATATTTACTGCCATCTTCTCTACCACTTACCCACAGATTCACTGGCGGAGTTGTAAACACCTCTTAACTATATAGAGATAGTATCTACCTTGTACTATTTTTCCTACAAAAATATGGCGAACGATCAGTGGCTACTTGAAAAAATTATTTTTCCATATTTTTCCATATGGCTTATTAGGTACATGCATAATGTACGTGCAAAAACCGATACTCGACCCGAACGTGGATTTTAAAGCCGTAAAAGATTTAGTGGATCAACGAACGACAAACGCTGTTCGATTCCAGGTGGACGGAGGAGAACAGGAAAATTTTACGAGGTTTCGCATCGTAAATTTCAACTGCGATAATTAAATCGCATCTCGTTAATGCGATATTTTCGATACTAATTGCTTCGACGCGCTTTAATACGCAAAGGCCGCGCTTAAACGCTCGTCGGCCGTGTTATAAATGACGCATTATTAATTAACTCGTTAATCTTTACTATTAATACGGCTCTTCCCTTCGTGTTAGCGACGGAACGCGTCATCCTTTTGCCATGTGTTTTTAAACGGTTAGAATTTATTGATCATATTCCTTCAATGACATCATTCGACAGTATAAGACTTCACGTCGATCGCTGATTTATATCTCGTGATTATTAATTCCGGTTTTGCTATTAATCCTAATGATCTATGAACGAGTGAAAAAAAAAAAACGTTAATAATTACGTACACGTTATAACTTTAGAGAATGTCAAAATTATGGTAATAATTTTATTGGTAGATATTTCTATCTTTCGCATTCCTGTACCTGCTGTCATTCGTTACCGTGGTCACTATGCATGGGATCTAATTATTAATATTGATCGGTAACATTGTACTAATAATTAACGAAAACGAGTTCTCGTTAATATAAGAGAATCTTTCAACAGGATTTGTAACTAGCCGAGAGACTAATGCTCTGTTTGAAAGCCGCCATAGATATACATACCGGCTACGACGAGACTGGCCTCGTCAGTCGTAAATGAGAGTCAAACCGATCTGTGCCTTCGTAAATGGAAGAAAGCGCCATTTTTATTTTGTTGAGGAATAATACCCTTCCTTCCCCACTCGAACTCATGGTACATCGCAAGATCATATAAAGTCAAGTAAATTCGCAAAGAGTCCGCCAGACTTAACTCCCAGCCCGACGACTCGTTTTAACCCATTTAACCCTTGTCAGCATCATTTGCTCGATAAAAATGCGCGAGCTCGCAACGATAACCGACGTCACGGTAATTCCCACGATTTTCCATCCCCTCTATCAAAACAAACAATTCAATAACCCGTTCAATGACTATCGATATGAATATTTGAAGACGAACGTGGTCCATAACAAATTTATTTTATACCCGTAAAGGTATATATACCATTTTTATAAGAAAAATATTAAATCCATATATACACATACACTAGATTCTATATATCTACAAAACATCTGAAAACCGTGATAGAGATGGAAAACCGACGCGGAGACGTAGAACGCAGAGAGACGAATGGTAGGAGACGGTGAAACCCACTAAATCAATACTCTGCCATCGCTCCAACTCTGGCTCATCCCCTCGCAACCCCTAGGCTACCCTTGGAGCTTCCAGCCACGGTTCCCTCCATCCGTACTCCGTATAGTACGGCCTGCCACCCTTCGTTCCACCCCCGTCACGCTCTCGAGCGAAACTTCCCTGGCCTCGCTCGCTTCCACGGCTACTCCCGTGCGAAGAGTTTCCTACTACAGCTGGATATTCTCCTCTATCCAAGTAACATCACCTACCGATCTACCATCCACCTACTGTACCCGAAGACTGCCTTTAGATAGCTGCACTTGGGGTACGTCGACAACCGTACCGGAAATGCGATCTTCCATCAAGGTTTTCAAACTCGTTTGACGATTTCCAGCACTTTTTTTTTTCAATCCAAAAGACATACTTATCAAAGATTTGGACTCCAATATATTCTTTCTCCTATGTACACATGGCTGCTCGTACCATCTTTCGTTGTTCGTAACCATGTGACACTTGTGACTATCGTTAACAAAGACAAGCGCAAACAAGAGACGTGACGCGTTTTAACCGATCTAGGTCACACAGTCAGAGACACATTCACTGACAATATAATGTCTCTGGCTTTCGTCAGTAGGCACTCCTATCTTGGTGTACGATCACGTGGAGACGCGGGGAGGCCGTGCTCTCGAAGAAGGGGTTTTCTCAATGTACAGTGGGGACACGAGTCCTGGCCATGTCCCTACAATCAAGAGCCAACTGGGCAAACACACGGCCCGTGGCGTGGCTTGGCTAGCTGGCAAAGGCTTCGCGCATAACGGTGGCGCGACGCGACGGAGGTCTCGATTAGTAAATAAGAGGGATGGCGTGTTTCTCCTCTTCTTAAAACGAAGAATCAAGCCCGGGGGAGTCCAATTACACGGCTGGCGGCTCCTGCTTTGTTTCACGGGCGCTGCTGCCTGCTCGAAGAATCATCGCTATGAGCCTGCTCTCGCGTGGACTCTCGTTATTTCTTCACATTTAAATATATCTATTTTTCACCACTTGCATGTCATTTGGTCCGACTATAGTTTGGTTGGAGTAGATTGGAGTAGATGTATGCATATTCTGTGTGTACATATTGGCCTTAACGGTAGAGTTATGGTTGCTGCACGATACACGATTCTTGGGTGTATCTGTTGGAACAGAGTTATTAATTGACTTACCTGTGGCGCAGATGTACCCGATTATACCGTGTGTGAAAAATATTTGCAATTTTTACCTTGCTCGAGCACAATGAGCTTCCATCGTGCTCGGTTAATAATTGGTAATCGTATCGACGAATCTACGATGCTGGAGAGCAGCTATATCGTGGCAATTAGTATCACACCCAACGCCGGAGGAAACCTTAATATTTATAGGGTAGCTTATTTAAACGTGTATTTTATTACGACGTGTTGTGGCGTGTGTCACGCAAAGTGGCTACTGTTGTATACCTAGGTCTACCTTATTTCCGTGACTACGCACGGTATATACCTATATAGAATTTACACCTAAAATCTGGATTACCTAATTAATTTATACTCTTTTTTTTCTTTTTGTTACAGGTAAGATTTCATGCGTCATAATCCTACGATTAAATGTATACGGTGAGTTTGCAGATATCGTTATTGCGGTATCGAGTTGTCATGGTTATTGAAAAATTTGACATCTGTCAATTTTATGACTTTCTTAAGGGCATGCGGGTAATTAAAATTTCGGTGCAGGTGGATGGGTCAATATTCATCGGCACACGTGTACGCGCACTATTTATATCGTTTCCTGCCTAGTGCTGCGTTAGAGATAGATATATCGCGTGCTCTCGGTAAGAGAGTCGAGGGCGCCCGTAGTCTCGACGGCATAAAAGTATCCGTATAGCCCAATGCCGGTGGGCGCAATGTCGGCGGACGGCTGATAGCTTTACGATGCCTGCTGAAAGATTGACGGCCGAATCCGTCAGCAGTTCTCGGCGCGTGGACGGACTCTGGATTTCCTGCAATTTTCCTGGCACCGTTCGGAGGTTGTAGGCCGGGCACGTTCCACCGAGGTTGCGAAGCTCTGCATTCGATTCTGTATCGTTTTATACACGACTCGATTCACCTTGTTCCTAAGACGAGCAAGTAGAGAAGACGGTCCTTACAAGATAGCTCTTGAAATAGCCGACATTTTCATGTCGGTATAAAATAACGTTAAAAGTATATACGTATACACAGAAGATCGATGAAGCAATGTAATAAATAGTGATAAAATGTAGGTATTTAAAAATTCTTCATATTTTAATTGATACGTATAAATTTTCCTTGACGATTCACCTTGTAGTTTTTTTCTTTGAAAAGATGGCGGATACGTGTACTCCTGTATGGCTATCGCGTGAGCTTTTGTCGAAGCACAAAGGAACGGCGTGACGGCGTGCGATAGTCCCCTGCTTTAAGAGGGGTAGTACACACCACCATTCTGGTGGTGTGTAGGATCATGGATTGGCGCGGGGTTCGAAGCGGCGGGGTGTAGCAGGGTCGTGGATGAAGGGGCTATTCGAGAGGGTGGTCCAGGGACGAAGCGACGAAATAGAGAGAAAATGAGAGTGAACTCAGAGAAAGAGAGAAGGATAGAGTGAGAGGCAACGAGGAGGAGGCAAAGGAGGTGAAGGAGGTTGTGTAGGGGGGTTACGGTTAGGGTGCGGGGGTTACGGAGACGGGTTGGTACGAAGCTGAACGCATGTGCAGGGCGTCTCGCGTCGCGGCGCTCTGGTACCGTAGTGGAGGCTGCGAAAGCGGCCGAACGGAATTCGCGGATCAGAGTCGTCGCATCTCTTGGAAAGATACGTGAGCGCGTAACGTTACTTGGTATCGGAAGTTAACACGAGTTTATTGCCTGTTGTCGAGAGAGATCAGAGAAAGTCGAGAACTTCGTTGAGAACTTCACGGTCTGTGTGGTGGCGCCCTTAGGAGGACGCACGTGCCGGAGATCCTGGATGACAAGGAACCTAGAAGATTTTTGAATATCGTTATATAACAAAGGGAACACTGTAGATTCCTGGGGAATGGTATTGGGCTCCTATATCGTGATATATCGCTCTACAAATGTGAGTAGGGCTCTCTTTCCCAAGTCCCCTGTGGATCGGAGCGTACGGCACGCGGTACCAAGTGCCAGGCTGCAAAGAAACTGGATATACGAACTTTGGAAGGAGCGAGTGCCGAGCGGGCCGACGTAATTGCGTTTTCATCGGACGCGACGCGATGCCGTGACAAGCGTTCCGGGAGCGTGACGACGCCTCGCAGCAGCGGGTCACGCGAGACGGCCAGAAACGCAGGAGGGGGATAGGTGGAGATACCGAGTAACAGAGATAATACGGGTATAGAGAGTGTAAGAAAAAAGAGACTGATAGTCTCCTAGATAGACTGCACTATTGATCATTAAAGATATTCGATGTGTTCATGGACATGATCAGTGTATGATCCGCTAGGACAATTGCTCGCTTATTTTTTATCGTTCTTTATTGGCAAAAGCGGCTCGAAAGCTGTGGCGAATTTGTAACGCGAGATCTTTACCAGCTATTGGCGCCGGAGAGAAAATTTATAACCTGAGGCAAAAAAAGACGTTTCTGTTGAAAATATGGAAATTTTGGAGGCTTCCGTTACGAGGGACCATCTGGATTGTGCTGGGTGTCTCGCTGTCAGAGGACGGATCTAAAGACCTTTTCTACGTGATAAACGATCTTCTATAGTGAATCGGGTGTTCAAGCAGTGAAAGGGTGATGGTGAATGGAGTCGCGCTGCATCGCAAGCTCGCAAGGACACATGTTCCGCGAATCGTGCGCTTCGACCTTGGACGGAAACTCATCCTTGCGGTGGTGAAGGAGAATACGGACAATCAAGTAGGAGATTTGAGGAAGACGCGAGGAGTGCCAAGTGGTGGAAGTTATCAGCCACGACGGGGCCCAGCGCCGGGGTGGAGAGAAGGCCCCCGGTGCAGGGAAGCAAGGCCGAAGAGGGCCCCGAGGAGAGCGTAACGACGGCCCTGAAACCGCAGGGGAGGACTGCTACCCCCTTGTCCAGGGGGAAAACCAGGAGACGGCACCGCCGGCGAAGGCGTCGGAAAAAGAAGCGACGGAGGTGAGCTGCCTGTAAAAAAAAAGAAAAAAGCAAATTAAAAACTAATTAGTCGCATTTCCAAAGAATATTGAAATTTGGTATTCCGGATGAAAAATTGGATATTTCAAACGTCAAATTCATTGATTCTTCCCTTAAAAATCGTATATAGGGAAAATTTATCCTAGGTCACGTGGTAACACATACCATTTAGATATTCGCGACCCATATAGCTCGTCTGCACGTCGCGTCGGGACGTCTTGTGATATTAAAGAATTTTTGCTCAGGATCCTGTTAAAGAAATAGGCATCCTTGCAGTATATTGATTTGTTAGATAAATCTTTCGGAATGTTCGCTCGAGGCAATTAAAACCTAAGCGAAAATACATGGTAAACATTACGCAAATCGAAGCAATACGTGTGCGTGTTACGAAATTGTAATAACAATATAACGCAAGTGATAAACTGCAAATAATGACGTTAAAATTAACATCGTGAAGTATAACGCAACGAAGACACGTCGAATGCCAAATTCACGAGTTGCGTAATTTGCAAATTACTACACGCACAATATGTCCTACATTTTAATTATCAGCTGAGCACATATACTTACATGCAAACGAGTGAAAGCACTATCTTCAAAATTGTATAATGTTTAATCGGCAAAAATTCGATCGCCAATTCCCGAATTGTAAATATATACGTTGTACGCCTCGTCTCAAATATTATTACACCGGTCGATTCACCCGGCATGGAATTTCGCAAACCGCGTGCCAGGAGTGTCTCGTAATTCGCTAACCGCTCTTAATTGTAATTGTCCTGCGGTGAATTCCAAAGGACCTCGCGCAGTCAGTTCACTACAAGAACAAGGATTCCAGTGTTAACTGTAATTCATCGCACTTCTTGCAGTGGGTTTCGCTCGCGAAACTCGCTCGAGTCTTTCGACTGGGTGTTCGGTAAGGCGTAACGATATGATGGTTTTTTTTAAATAGCGTATATCTTCCTTCCTCGTTTTAATGTCCCAGTGGCATGTCAACAAATTTCATCGACGCTCTTATAAAATTCCCTTTTAACTACCGCCGCGGTAGGTCGTTTGCTATTCCGTACTTTGGCTTTTACATGTATAACGCGCAAGTGAGGATGCGTGCTAGTTTTTTTGCTTCTTCCGCTTAATTGACAAAAAGAGGAAATAAAACACGGTCGAAGGGAAACACTTAAGAGTTATTAGCGCATTTGAAATTTACGCGCGTTCCACGTGCTATGAACGTCACGATCATCTCTTTTATACAAGCGGCGTCGCAAATCACGGAATCCTAATGAATTCACGAGTGGCTGCGAACGAGGAGCGGGGATGAATTATGCGAAAAATCATGCGCTACGAATCGAGGACGATAAATTATAATAAAGTGTGTATATAGATATAACGTATGTAGGTGACTCTCGTTTGCTTGACATTTATTAAGAAGGTCCCAATAACCGACTGCAGTACTTACCCACGTGGTCGCTGAGTGTTGCCTGAAACAAATGATATCACCTGATTTCGTAAAAACCCGTTTTGCTGTTCGACCATTGATCAAATTCACAAAGTTTCCAATAAGCGATTACAAATTAGCCACACGGTATAAATCTTATACAATAGCAAATATTATATGCATATACTCCATACCCTTTAACGTAACGTAATAAATCATTCGAAATATCTATTTTATTCATACGGTGTTATGGAAACACGGTAATAAATTTTTCTCCAAAAATTATTAATCCTATATACAGCGGCGTACGCTTGGAATTAAATAATTATCAAATACTTACGTTATTACGAGGAAATAGTGAATAGTCGAAAATCCTGGTTGATCCGTGTAACAGAAGTGCGCGCCATATTCGTTATAGTTGTCGAACAAGAAGAAGGCAGTAGCCGTCATGGCGGAATTCTCAGCCCCAGAGTAAGTAGACGCTGGTTGGCGGAGGGAACCCTAACGCCGGTATTACGTCCCTTCCTGTCGGTAGGGGGTTTTCGTGGGGAGGTTCGGCTGGCAGGAAATGAAGGGAATGGATGGGGGTGATTGGAAAATTTGATGGAGGGTGGTACGACAGGGGGGAATAGAAGCTAGAATCTATAACACGGTGGGATATGGGGCTATCAATGACGCGTTAGACCACGTCACGCCGTGCATCGCATCTGCCGCCCTACACTCACTCGACTATATATTATCATGGCGATACGTCAAATCGACCACTGATCATTATACTGATTATCCGAAACACGCACAAGTTCACAAACGCCTTGTATATATGGATGTACGATGACACCCATGACTCGGGTATTAATAAACGTCGCGTTCCTCGTCCGAATCAAATCATCTCGTTCTAATTAGCCGCAGTTATAAAAAGAAAGTGATAACAACGATATTGATATAATTTTCTAACCCGTAACGAATAATCCATATCTCGATCGAATCGATCAAAATCAAGTTGGACCACCCTATACAACACTCTTGTAATCCTTCCCACGTTAATAATTACACGATTCATAAGTCGCAAGCACATCTGGTACTGATGCTGATTTATTGGGCCGATTGCTCGTATAAGTACACTCGTGCGTCCCGAAAAGGATGACCGTCGCTAGAAAATTCAAAGTGTCCCGCGTATAGACATGGACTTTTTGTATCCTCCCCGGAGTAACTTGTGCGGTCCATAGGTTCTCAATTGGTTCCGCAATCCTCTAATTACCGAACCAGTTAATCTACTCACCGATTTCTGCGGAACGGTGCTCTCGTGCTGAATCCTCGCGGTGAATCCTCGTGGCAGTACGTCGCTGCTCCCGGCAAACACGAGGAGCGAAGGAGAGTCGCCGACGAACTGGGAAGAACAAGTGAGACGGATTGCGAGGAGAAGCAAAGGAGCGAGAGACGAAGTACAAGATGAGACTACGGGCTGCTAGAGGAAGGAGAAGAAGAAGCAGAAGTCTCAGCCGACTATAGCCGGCTCGAACAAGGCCCGGCCGCCGGCCGGGGTCATAAATTTCGATATTATACACGCGGCTCAGACCAGGGAGGACCAGTTCCCCTTAGTGACGCAACGAACAATACCCTCACGAGGTTTTAACTTTCTTTTTTTTTCTCGCTCTCGCTCTCCCCTTCCCGCTGCTCACCCTTGCCCTCACGCTCTATGACGACCCTACACAATGCCTCTCTCTTGCGCAAACTTTCCCTGATTTCCCCGGGCATCGCACCCTTATAAAGACCTTTGGCCGGCCGCGGCACCTTTTTCCGTTTCTACGCTTTCCTCTACCTGATATTCCTATACGTTTCTCGAGTCACGGAAGCATCGCCACCTTCCTCAACTCGAACTCCCTCGTGTGTTTCTCCCTGAATGGGACAACCCAGATACACACGCGGTGGATTTCGATGGCGTCCGTCTCTCTTTCTTCTCTCCTCCTTCTACGGCCTATGAAAAAGATTTATACCGTATCTTCGCTCCGATCTTGTTAACAAGCACGCTAATCGTGTGTGAAAACCTGCCCCCCGTTGCGTTGGTACTATATACCAGCCCCTCCTGCCCGCTCTTTTGCACGTAGTAGGTAGTATCACACTTAGCGCTGTGCTTACGGTGGTATGGTATCAAATTTATCTCCTTGAGATTGGACTACCTTGATATCAGGCTGGATTGCATTTAGTTATTTAGGGGCGTTGGCGTCCTGCCTTCCGGTGGAATTATATGTATCACGGTAGAGCCATTTTCGAATGCACTTTTACGTGTCCTGGAGGGTTTATATATTATATACAGTACGGCTTCGCGATAACAATTTTTCAATATTTGTTAAGTGATTTTTAATATATTGTTTTGGAATCCACGCATCGTGTACAGGGTGTCGTATATTAACTTGGATAACGATTTTGTCACGCGACACGAAAATAACGTAAAAATGTCGACGACCCGCCGCTTTTAACGGCTTTTGAAGATTTTTTCTCTCTCTCTCTCTCTCTCTCTCTGTCGTCTCTGTCCGTCGATGAAATACGGGCGCACTGTCGTCTGCCAAAAAACAAGAGCGGGCTACTCGCCCAGTACCAGTCACCTTTTTCACTGGGTTTTCGAATATCACCAACGCTGGAATAGCCCTGACGTATGAGAGAGCCTGTTGTATTTTGACACTCGTCGAGATACCGACAAATCCTAGGCTGCTGGAGCAACATGGCCCCTGCGCGTCTTCAACGAATCAGAGAGACCGTCGTGGCGAAGCTTTCTTTCTCTTATTGGATAGCCGAGAAATAATTTTAATTCGTCGCGACGTAAGTCGCCGAACTTTCGCCTCTGTACTCGCAGTCCTTTTTTTTTACTTTCAGTTTTTTTATTTTTTCCTCATTTCCACCCCTCGCGGTCGGGCGGTACCTACCCAACGCGTATGTATTTTTATTTCGTTACGTTCGGCTTGGGCGTGGATGCAGGCCGTTAGACGGGGGTCGCTTCTCATTTCTCGTATTTTCCATCGCGATAAATCACGGGTTGCCGTCGCTGCCGCCGCCGGAAGCTTGGAGGAAGGCGACACGAGCGACAGGAAGGGGTGTCCCGCCGATGTCACGTGGAGAACCCGAACTCTGGAGATTACAGAAGTCGAAACCTTCGGATTATGGCCGCGACCGCACACATTCGCCTTCTGTCTAACGCAACGTTACTTCTGTCCTATCGATATAGTCACGTATCAAACCGACGACCCTTCAATGTAGAAACTTGAAAATTATACTTGAACTTGAATTATAATTTCTGTAACCCATCTCACGGTCTCTGATGATCATTGATATAATTTTATCAATCTGTCTTAAAGATTCTAAAAAAAATAGTTACCTACACTTTTTTTTTTATTGACACAAAATATAAAGTGGGATGCACTTTCATGTAGAATTTTGTAGAAATTTAGCTACAGCGAAAATACCAAAGTCCGATGAGTATGAATCGTAGGGTGCAAGTGCAGGAAGCTTGCGCAAAAGCCGCCGTTCCACCCTTGCAAAGCTCATCAAGGAACGAAAA